CCACGGTGCGGGGGGACAGAACTTGGCTTATTAGAATGACAGTTGTGGGCAGAACTGCTGTGGCAGGTGGAGGAACACAAAGAGAGAGATGGTGTTTGGGGTGGGGGGGGGGGGGGGACTTTAATGTTCTTCTATTTAAAGCCTTAAAGTTTCCAGAATAATTCCTTTAATTCTTATTTCAAACAAAAATAATTCTCAACCTTTTATCAATCACTAAAGCAAAAGAGCCGCACAGCAAATCCTCGTTACCCTTTTGGCCGCAGAAACTTTCCTCTAGGCAGCCAGAACTGTCACCGCGGCTACAACAACATTTATTTCAACTTTGTATCTAACATGCGACGACTCCCTGAACTTTTTTTTTTCGTTTTTCGTTTTTTTTTTTTTGTTTTGTGGTTTATCGTATTTATTTTTTGTATTGTTGAAAATTTCTAATGGATTTTGCTGAAGTTTAAGCAGGGGATGGGGGATAGCTGGATGATTGGCTGGTTACCGACTGGCACTGCTGCTGTTGCGGCTTCGACTTGGCCCTGTGTGCACTTGACTTGAAGTGGTTTATCCATGTCAACGGCTGTGCTGTGCCTTGTCGCCGGGTCAGCAGCAGCAGCAGCGGTTCGTTTCGGTGCGGTGCGGTGCGGTTCGCATGCAAATTCAAGTCGCGTTCGTTCAAAGGTCAACAATGGCAGCTACTGCGGCTGTTGGCTGTGGGCTGCTGGCTGGTGCCAGAGGGTGTTGTGGGTTGTGCTGTTCAACAAAAGAGAAAAAAGGTCAAGCAATTAGTGTCACAGTGATGTCTGATGCCAGCCAGCCAGCCAGCCAGACATTTGTTGATGCTTGTTCAGCCTCAACAACGGTCAGGACAGCCATGGGACAGCACAGTGATAGTCCTTTGGCTGATAAGATAACAGATAAGGGTATTATAACACTGGGGCATTGCCGCCTGTGACTTTGATTTGTGTTTGCGCCTCACCCATAAGACACACATGTGCCACAGATCTCTCTCGCTTTCTCTGTCTCTCTGTGTTTGTGTGTGTGTGTGCTTGAACTATGACCCATGACACTTGCAGAGATGAGGGTGAGGGTGAGGGCGATGACTGGTTGGATGGATTTTCCAATCACTTAACTTTTCATAGGCCTGCGGCTGTCTGGGCCTTTAAGATTGGATTACATGGAATGCAAATATCTTCGCACTCCACACGCGACCCGTGAATTGTATTTACACCTGGCAGACAGACAGACAGACAGACAACCTGGTTTCATTTGTGACACCTTCATGGCTTTCTTTTACTTCAGTTCGCATGTGAAATTTAATTACGCATACGCTTAGTAAGCCCCGGACATTTGAGTCATTTTGCAGCACCTACTCTGACTCTCTCCCTCTCTCTCTCGCTCTCTAGCTGTATATCTGAGTGTAAACTCTTCATGGAAGTTGCACTATCCTAATGAGCATGGCCAAGACACATACAAATGTAACCCCCCTCTCACAGACACCATTAGAGGCGTCACAAAGTGTTTTCCAGCTGTCTGGAGTTTCCTATTCCTTGCCACTCGCTCTGCCAACTCTTAACGCGGGTAACTCTGGGGAATATTCGACTGAAGCGATTTTCAGGAATTAAACTCAAGGGAAAGGAGAAAGGGTAACACTTTTGGCTACAAATGACTCGGAGTACAAAATATGACAAGTTTCCACTGCCACTGATCATCAAACAAAATGCCAAAAGAGTAATTTCCAGTAAAAGGAAGTATTTCTTTTTAGCCTCCAGTTTTTATGTCATTTATCCCCTTCCATTTGCCATGCCTACGCATCACTCCCTAGTCGAGCATTCGAAAGCCTTTATTTTTCTATCTGTATCTCGCTCTCTGCTTTTTACGTATTCATTGCGCTGAAGTCTGTGGGTGCTGCTGGGGGAATGGAATGTGTTTGAGTGTGGGTGTGAGATTGTAGCTTCCCCCCTTTTTTTTTAGGCTACATTTTATTTTCATTTTATTTTTGGCTCACGAACGCTCACTATTTGTTGGAACTGCTGTTGCTGCTGGTGCTGCTTCTCTGCCAGCAGTTAATGTAATATAACCATCATCAGAGGCTCTGCCTGCTGCCTGCTGTCTGCTGCCTGAGCTCCTGCTTCTGCCAGGGAGCGAGCTGCCTTTAATGGGCTTGGCGCCGTAAGATATGCTACACTTTTGCCCCATCGTGACTTGCACGAAAATGAAATGATTTGTATTCGCGTGAAAATAAATTATGTGCAAGTATTTTAAATACGTTCACTGAGCATTTCTTTTTCTTTTTGGTTGCTCCTTCTTCTTATACTTTGCTTCAAAATGAGCGCGCAATTTTTCATCAGCTCTGAAGCAAAGTAAAAGAAATAGCAGAGTGGAGTGGTGGGGAGTGGAGTGGAGTGGTGTGGTGTGGTGAGAGGAACAATGACAGGCAGTGTGGCACGTTGTCCTATGGCTCCAACATAATGAAAATGTCGAAGTGAAAGTAGTAAAATTTACATAATCTATGCGCTGGAAAATAAATGAGAAAAAAATCACAAAATTCGCTCCTTCCCCGCCATCCACTTGCTGCAGAAGATAAACATTTGATTAAGCGTATTATATATAAAAGGGAGAAAAAAAGAAGGTGCAGACCCCTCTCTCCCTCTCTCGCTGACTGCTGCCACTTGATTGTTGCAGCCAAAGAGCAACTTTTGATGGCACAAGAGCGAGAGAGAGAGAGGGAGAGAAAGCGAGAGGAAAGTTTATTAGGATGTGAGAAATATTAACTTGGCACAAAGTGTCCATATCTATGTGAATGCTGTAGTATATTTGTGTGTGTGTGTGTGTAGAGAATATTCTCTTGGGAGCAGAGGAAATACAACTATGCAAATCGACATGAAGCACTGAAAGGCAGTGAAATGGCAAAGTTGTTGATGCTAAATTAAAATGCATTCTAAATGCAGCCCACGACAATGGAAGTTGTCCTGAAGTCAGGCACTGCGCTGTAAGAGAGCGAGAGAGATACAGATACAGAGAGGAAGACAGTCGGAATAATACATAGAATTAAGCGGAGAATAATGGAGGACAATGCCAAAAGGAGAATGGCAAAGCAGCAGGGCACAGATGGGAGTCACAGAGTTGTGTTGTGCAGAAAGGAAACTTTGAAATGAAATGAAAGAAAGAAGCAGGAAAAACCCTACGAAGGGTAGAAGCACTTGATAATACCCTCCATCTGTTGGTTAATTCTGTCAGCATTTTAAACTTTATTCGAAATGCAAAAAGTAGCCAATGAATGTGTCAATCTTGCACTACTTTCCTTTCCGATAAGATGAGTCGACAGACTCCATCGCTACTTTGTCTGGCGATCTCTGGAGAGTTCTGTCTCTCTTTGTGAGGCATTTTCCATGGACTGGGAAATGTTTGTCCTCTTTTATCATGTCTCTTAGCAATTGTCAGTCAGTCAGAAAATATGGTACAGAGCCAGAGAGAGAGTGAGAGAGCTCTGCTCTGCTCTTGAACAATGTGAAAGCCAAGATAAGCTCAATAAAAATGTCGCCTTGCCACTTGGCAAATACATTTACATATTGCCACATGTTTCTCCTGCACCCCGCCCCACCCCCACCTCTGGCCTTTGTTCACACAAAAGGAAAAGTGCAGCATCAGCGTAAAATGAAATGATAGTCAGAGACTCCTACTGCGACGACTCCTTGCCTCCCTCTACTCCTACAATATATTCAAATGTGCAAAATATTCATTTATATATTTGAGTTCTGGCCCAGGACTAGACCAGGACCTGCTACTGCAAGTACCTTTGGCCACAAAAAAAAAATATCTACCAGTAAAAACCAACGTGGCAAGCTCTTGAAAAGAAAATGCAAACGTCATCGACAGCAACAACAAAAGCAAAAGCAAAAGGTCGTCGCCGAAGTGAACTCTGGGTGTCCAGGCTCCTGCTGATGCTTAAATTGGTTTAACCTTTCAACTGTCGTGTCGCATGTGCACAGAGGCAGCAACAAAGGAAGAGGCTGCCCAAGATTTTGTTGGAATAAAATATTAGGGAAAAGCAAGGCATTTAGTACATGGAAGAGTCCTGCATGAAATCCCGGACTAGCTGGCTTCTTTGGCTGTCTGTCTGTCTGTCTGTCTGTCTGTCTGTCTATCACCCAAAACAACATTTAATATTCCCTTTTGCTGTGGCAGTTATTTAAAATTTATGCTGATGTCTCTGCTACTAGAGTGAGTGAGAGAGAGAGAGCGAGAGCCCACAAATGACATATCCAGAGAAATTCAGAGGAAAATACAGAGCGATAGAGAGAAAGAGAGGACGAGCGGTACTCTCATGTGTGCTTATGTAAATGTATTTACTCGTCTGCCATTTTGACGCAGTCGCCAGTCACACAATCTGCTACATTTCCATAAATATTTTACAAAATTTACATAAAATGTTAAAGCTTCTGCGAAGCCAAGGCGCAGAAATGCCAAAAAAGAACATTGCCACAAGAAACAGATACACAAAGTGCGAGGGCAGTGTGGTGTGGTGGGTGGGGCAACGGAAACCTGCCACAGAACACACACAGAAGAAAAATTAATTCATGACGACAAAAGTCAATTTTGTAAATCCACAAAACATATGGTGCAAAAAAAAAAAAAAGAAGACATACACAGAGACACACAGACACAGACATACACACACACACACATACTCTGTCTCATCTGCATATATGAAATGATATAAATGTAATGCAAACGATGTGCGGAAGTCTCTCTCTCTCACTCCCTCCCTGCCCCACAGAGACAGAGAGAGATTCCCTTCTAGCCATTGTGTGGCGGCACGTGGCACAAAATACAGAGGCATTGGGCCGCATAAAATTGCATTAAAAGCTAATGAGCTTGAAATAAAAGACAATTTGCTTTTGAATTGAAAATGCCTTTCCTTGCGTTTCCTTTTTGCGGTATTGTTCTGCAGCGCCCCCAAAAAGGGAGCCATTAAAGGCAACCAAAACGCAAATGTGGAAATTGTCACAATTTGAGATATGGAAATTTATTTTCCAAAGAATCCATCAGCCAGGAGACATTAGGAGACTGTTGTTGTGGCTTCCCCATAAGTCTCATTATGTCTCAAGTGTCGTTGATTCGTATCGATAATGGAACAACCATACACCCCTCAGGGGCCTATGTATGGGTTAGTAGTAGGAGAAAAGATTTTCTTCAGCTCATCTGTCGAATGATATTCACTCCCACCACAATAAACACGAGTCCAATGGCCACTTTGCCATGGTATCCCCTGCAGGGACATAGCGTATAGCCGCGTCGTTTTCTCTTTGGATTTATGCACCTTCTGCAGGGGATATGATCGTCCAGGACGGAACGCACCAGACGGCAGCCAAATTCCGGAGCCCAAATGCAACAGTAAGCGGGATCCACTTCTGCAATTAGTTGGGGAGATCAATAAGGATATTTTCCATATTATTGGATATTCACTTACCCACGAGCTGTAGATCATTCGGGACGCACATCAGATGAGATGTATTTATGGCCACTTCTCCCTTTCTACTTTTCCATGCTTCCATATTTTTTCGCGCACTTTTGCAGCTGGTGCCGCGTTTCTGCACCGCACATTGGTCACCGCAGTCCAGACATATCATGTTGTCATATGGATTGTAGGAAAGAGTTTCCACCATAAGAACAAATATAATAAAAATCACATAAATCAGCATGACACAGATTTATTAAATCAAAAATTCTAGCGAGTTTTATTTATGGACTACTCTGTTGAACAATTCCACATCCCCCCTCACAATGCCCAATTCGATGGGTCGATAATGCCCAGCTGCAGCACTGTAATGGCGATGATGAGGAGACCTGTGCATAGTTTTGCATGGGCTGCCTTGCAGGGACAAAGCTCAATCTCTGGACTATCTTGGGTCAGCTCTTTGCACGAATCGCATGTTCGCTGTAAGCCACTTAGCCGCTTGATCATCTGGCAGCCCAGTTCCGGCGACCAGGCGCAGCAGAAATCGGGTTTCGGCTCTGAAATTTAGATAATTATGAAGCACTAAAAATTAGCTCTTACTACCATATAGAGTAGCCCCATACCACTGAGATGTTCGTCCCTGGGAATGCACTTTTTCAGATGGTTATAATGGTCCATGGTGTAGCGCGTCATGTTTGCCACAGAGAAGGTCCTTGAACGATCGAGTGAGAGACAACTGGAGCCAGTTGAGCGTACACCACAGTCCTCCTTGCAGTCCACACAGACCAACTCGAGAAACGGATTAAACTCGGGTGCGACAACAGAGCCAAGCAATATGGCAAAAATTAGCAAAATAAATGTGGACATTATGAATTTTATTTGAATAATGTTTACAGTTGTTAGTTTCAGTCTGTACTGATATTTCAGGGAATACTTGGTTTTAGCAGAAAATCCAATGCAGACCTGTGGAAATATTTGTGCCCATAAGACAATTTAATTAGCCAATTTAGGCAGCGCGAAGCCAGCTCTCAGAGAGCGCTAACAGTGCGCTGTAACCGGAAGCCACTGAGCTGTTAACTGAGAGCGATAACAGGCTGTTAAGCTATGGGTGACCAGCGCTGTTGCTCTGTTACAGCTGCTGCTATTAGATTATGTTATCCGATCAGTGTGCCTGCACTCAAACTTGGAAGCCTTACAAATCTCTCCGCAACCCTTTGCCGCATAAACCCTCTCTAATCACATTATTCCTGCATTCCCCTAAGCTATCCTCCGCCACAACCTATGAGTATATCACTTCGTCGTTCCATTGCAGTTTGCTCAGTTAGCTCGTAAGAACAATTTGCTGGTAAAAAATTTGCAGCCATTGCAGTTAAATGAAGCAACAAAGTGTGTGCTCCAAGCTCCAAAGCTCCAGTGTGTGTGTGCTGTGGTGTGGGCGTGGCATTGTGTTGAAGTGCTGTTCAGATTCCTAACCTCATCAATCGTTTACTTTATGGGCGAGCGCTTGGCATTTATTGGAGGCTGCCTTCCGCCCAAGCCTTTTGTATATCCTATATCCTTTGCCACTATCAACCCGGCCGCATCATCCTGCCACAGCCCCTCCTGCACGATGCGTGTGCACCCACTCAAAGGAGAGGGCAAAATCTCATCAGCAGGGCGTCGGACCCCGCCTCTTCTGATTCTGCTGCTCTTCTGTCTGTCTGTCTGTCTGTCTGTCTGTCTGTATGTCGGTTTTTGCATGAGGCTCGCTTGTCAGGGCCTCTGACTCTGGCCACCCCACCCACAACGTGCCACCCTAAATCTGGCCGTAGAAAGTAATCTTAATGGCTTTTTTGTTGCAGCAGCAGCAGCAGCAGCAGCAGGAACTTGCCAAGGGACCTGCCAAGTGAGTTGCAGCCGAGACAGAAAAAGAAAAAAACAAAAAAAAAAATGCGCAGAGAATGAAAATTGGGTCTGTTGATAACGAAGCAGGGAATACTCTTTGGCTGGGAATTTTGTTAGACTTTTTACAGAATTTCTGTCGATTGTTTGTTGCTGTGTAGCAATTTAAGGATCCTCCCACCTACGAATTGTACTCCTCCATCCAACTCCATCGGCCAATGCGATCAAAACTTTATTCTTGCCTGCATGCAACAAACTTCTGATCAAACAAAGAATACCCTAACTTTGAGGACATGGGGGGGCGCTGAAAAAAATCAGGCAGGCAGGCCATGAAAATTGCAAAATGCATTCAACGTTCCGGTGGGGGCGGTGGGGGGCAAACGCATAAATTGTAACCCCAACCAGCAGCCGCTGTGCATCGCGAAAGCCGCCGCCATGTGCCTCCTATTTGAGTGGTGTGGGGGGTGGGACAGAGAGCACCGGGAAGGGAACCATCTTAGACAGCCTCCAACTCGTGTGGAGACTCGGTGCGGCGTCTGCGGATTTGAATAGCCAATTTGTTTGGCATTGTTTGCACAGATACCACCGTACCCGAAAGGGGTGGATGTGGGTGTGGGTGTGGGAGGGGCATTTGCATTTCTAAGATAAAATGCAAATATTTCAATTTGTAACTTAAGCAAATTGCCTCAATGAGTGCAGCTGTCAGTCAAGCTCAGTGGCACAGTTGAGACTGTCTCTCTAGCTCTCTCTCTAGCTCTCTCACTCTCTCTAGCTCTCTCTCTCTCTTACACTCTCTCCCTGTGTGTGAGCCTTTTCTGTGTGAATTCCATTCAGGCATAAGCCTTTTTGCCCATAAAGAACCTTTAAAGTTGATTGGTTTCTGCAATTGACCGTAACCAATATACTTTACATACTCGCACATATGTACATATATATCCCTTACGAATACGATGTGTGAATGTGTGTGTGTGCGACATGCCATTTGGAATTTTGTGCATTTTATTGAGGCAGCAATTAGGCAGCAAAAGTCTACTCCGGCGAGTGGCACGGCAGTCAGTCCAAGATGTTTAGATTTTAGATTTTATTGCTAGCAAATTTTGCATGCAGTTAATGATGCATTGCATATGTGCAGGATTCATTGAAATGAACTCCAGTTGCTGCAATCGAAGTGGCAGCTGTAAATGAAGTGGCAAGCAATGTAGAAATAATTCCCATTTGGATTTGTATTAATTTGACGCTACAAATCTGTTTGAATTAGGATTTGGGATATTAGGATTTGGGATATTCTATTTGTAAATATAACTTTCTTTTAAGCTGCGCGAAGAGAGGGGAAAATCTCTGTTCCCCTAAGAACCAACCATCCAATGCCCCCAATCCAATTGATCGCCAATCCACTGTGGCGGAATTTATTATCCCACTATTTGCCGCATTGCATCTTAATTGCAGTAACAACAAATGGCAACAAGTTTCAGTAAACACTGAGTACTTGGGATTGCGATGTTAAGTATTTGTTGACCAGCCTTCAATGTCGGTTGTCGTTGCAACTGCAACAAGGAGCAGCAGAAGCAGAAGCAGCAGAAGGAGCAGAAGCAGCAGTAGCAGAAGGAGGAGGACTAACAGATGCCTAAGCAAACAAGCGATACAGAAAGTTAGCGAACCAGACTTGGTTTGCCGAGGCATTGGAATCGGAGTTCGAATACTCTGCCTGGGGATGCCCCCAAATGCGTTTTGCAGCAGCTGAATTTCAGGCAGTCATTGGAGCATTCTAAACTACAGAACTCTTCGCTCAGCTGCTTAAAAAGTAGCTGAATATGGCATCCCCATCCCACTGTCTTATTGGTCCGCCTATCGATCTGCTAGAGTATCTACAGCCGCGACCATTGGTATGTGGCCGCTTTCCCTTGTTGGTTGATGTTGCTATTGTTAGCAATAAAGTTTCTCTATCTCTCACAGCTTCTGTCCAACTGTCTTATGGGCTTGTGTTCTTGTTACTCTTGTCTGTCTGTCTTGTCTGTCTGTCAGTCAGTCAGAATGTCATTATTGTTGCTGTCGTTGTGGCTGATGTAGCCGCTGTTGGTTTTCTTGTACAAGCTTCGTGTTGTTTGAACAAAAACTAGGCGCGCACACCCATGGACAACACATGCACAACCACATAGCAGGCACATCCCCCACTGGGGCACATGTCGAGGTCCCTGAAAACCCCCTGAAGAAGCAGCAGCAGCAGCAGCAGCATCCAAGCCAGCAGCAGCAGCAGGCCAAGAGGAATGAATCTCTGTGGCTGCACATTCAAGTGGATGCTGGATGGTGGGCGGAGGGGTGGCTCCTCCTGTTCTGACACTCTTGTTTGCTAACAATGCAATGTATGTCAAGGCGAAATATGTTCATTCAACTCGGCAAACACAAAAAAAAATGAGTAGAAACAGTACCAACAACAGCAACAAGCCCAAGCAAGTGGCACAGTGACGACGACGACGACAGGGAGCGAGGGAGAGCATCAATAATGGAATGCCTAGAAAAGCGGGATTTCCCCCACACACACACACACACACACAGATGGGGGGGGAGGGTGGTGCGTGTTCGTTGATTACATAAATGCAATTGAAATCGTGTACAAGTACGAGACGAGAGGCGGCACTGGAATTGAAATTGAAATTGAAAATTACAAAAAATGGCTAAAAGGCTAAAGGCTGGCATACTGAAGGACGTTGCCGCTGATCCACTTGCCCTGATTTTTTTTTTTTTAGTTGTTAAAGTCCCCAAAAAGATGACCTTGGAGTGGTGCAGAAACTTGCCCGGGAAAGGCACAACAATGTGTGTGTGTGGGGGGGGCGAAACCTGTACAATTGAAAGGGGGCGGATAAATACGTAAATAAATCTGATTTGAAACGCAAATATTCAGTTTCGAGTGCACTCCAATTTGCAACCAATTCGATGCGGAATAAAAGTTTTAATGGAGCCAGAAAAGCCAGACCTAGAAGAGCAGCGCCCTAAAGGTGCTTTCCTGTCGCTCATTTGAATCTTTTTTACGTTGCAACTTTAATGACAGTTGCAACACACCCCCGTACCTAGCCTTACCCCACTTTATCGTCATCATTCAACAAACATATTTTTAATTAGTTATTTGCCTTTGCTCAGGGAACAAGAAATATTGCAAAAAGGGCTGTGGGTGGGGGGAGGGGAGGGAGAGGCGAAATTGCACGTTTGCCTTTTGGAGTCTGTTCTACCGGCAAAAATTGCATAACAACTGCCATTAAAAGGCAGACAAGCAAATTAAAATGCACACAAACGGTAAACACAACAACGAAGAAGGGAAAAACTCAAAAAGAAAAGCAGAAACAACAACAACAACAACTCGTGACGAGGCTGCAAAAAAAAAAACAAAACAAAAATATAAGAAAATTATAAACTTTGTTTAAAAAACAATTACAAGGCAGTGGAAATAGAAAACGGGCGATGCCAAAGGATGCACGGATGGGGCATAAAGAAAATATTAAAGAAAATAAAAAATAAAATAAAAATATAAACTTTACAGTCAATAAAAGGAGCCGAAAGGCGAAACGCTAAAAGAAAAACTCTTTATGACAAAAGGCGAAATAATAATAAAGAGGCAGCAGGCTAAGGATAGGGGGTGGGATGGTGGAGTGCACGGGGGGATGGAGTGTCGAGCGGGAAGCATAAAGATGCAGGCGGATCAAACAAGGCTACAGAACCACACAGATACAGATACAGATAAAGATACAGCTGTAGATATGGGAGGCGAACGAGCCCGGCATAGGCACTAAACGGCCACTTAAACGTTAACTTGATTTAGCACCTCGTAACGGAGAGAGAGCAGAAGGAGCGCAGCAGCAGCAGTCACCAAACAAAAGGCAAAGACAAAACAAACGAAACAAGGGGCGGCGGGCAGGGGCGGTAACTCAACTCAGCTCAAGCGTAGGCGTAGGCAGGGCGCTATAAAAACAGATCAGAAGAACACACAAAAAAAAGCCAACCAAACAGTCGCAATACAAAAAAAAAAAAAAAAATTCCAGCCATAACAG